GGAACTCTGGCGCTGTAATCGTTCAGCCACTATGGAATGATGGGTGGTACACAAGTTTGCCTAGTCTTCGTGCTTGCGGTCGTCGAATGCACTTGTGGCATTGTTTATTAATGCGTTTTGGCTTGGTTTCGGATAAAAGAACGCACCATTTTGAACTTCGTGACCCGATTTGAATTGATGAGCCAAAAGAGTTAAGGTGGTTAAGTGCAACTCCTGAACATATGCTGATTGTTGTCTCGTGACAAACGAGCTCCGAGCAGCGCAAAGCCAAGCAGAGCCGAAAGTATGCATACTAGGCAAATTTCTATACTACCCACAATCCCCATGCTGGCCGAAGCGCCGAGCGTTTCATCTCCCATTGACACCAGCGCCAGAGTTTCCCCTAGTGTACATAAAGGACGCGCTTTTATGTCATCTTACGCTTAGCCGGTGCTACTAGGTTGCTCATGATGGAGGAAACAACCTGACTGGGTTCGCTGCACACAACTTGCGTCACAATTGCAGTAACGAACAGGTAGTCGATAAAGCACAGAAGAAAGTTGCGCACATGTCGCACACCCGCGTTTGCGAATCCCTTTAAGATTTCACATTTCAATTCGTGGACGGGAAGCCCTATAAGCTTACCATAAGCATTGGCGTCACCGATGCTTCTGTAAGTGGAACTGTGGGAACTCAGTGAACCGAAATAGCTAGGAGCTCTCGGGTGCCCATGATATGGTGCCATCTGGCGGTGGCCCTAGGCTCAGCACAAGCTCGTGTTTTCCGGCGGCACTGCCAGATGGCGTTGATATCTCATGCTGCGCCTTTTCTATTTTATCAATGCCAGCCAAACGTGACCGATTCCACATATGGGAGGCGTTATCTGGGGCAAGGCTAGACATAAATGGCTGCTTTATTTTCGGGGGCGTGTTACGCATACATGAGTCATGTATGCTCATGCATGCGCTCATATGTACGCATGTACGTATATAATTACAAAACTGAAAACTTTCGGTAGTAGGGGGAGGGTTGTGCCCCTAGCTTTCCGCTCCATCCAAACGCGGGGCTGGGATTTGATCCCGCGAGCTTCGGGTCGACAGCCGACTACCATAACCCTTGTATCACCGAGGTTGACAGAGCTCGGTTAGTTAAACAATGGCCTCCAAGATTGCGAGCTCGCGGCGTGGTTAAAACACGCCGCGCGCCCGCAATCTCGGAGGCCATGGTTGAACCAGTTACTATATGTCGCGGCGGCCGCCACGGCCGTGACGGGCCTGCGAAGAGTCCTCTGCTGCAGTCCGTACACCGTGTAGTAAGCAGGGTCGCAGCAAAGGCGGAGGTGCCTGTAGCTGCTGATCACAGTGCCCCTTACGTTGCCACGACCTTACCTGGGCTTCAGTGAAGACCTTGCTTCAACGCTCACTCGTGGAGAACACGACGCGGATGAGAGCACGGAGAAAAGAAGGGAACTGCTATTCTTGGCCGACTTCAGAAAAAATTGACACCTCGAGTTGCAGGATGGTGTAACAAGCAATAGTATTTTGTTTATCGAATGTCCGTAGTTGTGCGTACAGACTTCACATTCACAAAAATGAGCGGTGGTTGGCAGTTGACAGTGAGTGCACGTAAGCTCTATGACGAATGTCAGACAGCGGGAAAGGTTTCAATTCATGTTTTTTTTTTACGTGGGCCGTGTCATTCTTTTTTGTTGTTGTTTGTAGAGAAATATTTCGCCACAAAGGGACGACCACAGTATTTGTGGCTGCAGCATTGAAATTTCTTTTTTTTCTCATTTTACTCTCGTACACAAGCAAAACGTGGATTGTTAGCGGTAAAGCTTGCGTTTTCAAAACGTATGCGCACAAACAATTTTTTTGTTCTTCTGTGGCGATGACTGAAAGTTAGCACTTTAATAATAGTAATCCCACGTGCACTCGGCATAGTGGTTACGATCGCCAGAACCAAATGTACCACTGCGCGATACACAGCGCGAAGTGAGGGCGAGAATCTTCTCACTCTACTATACCTGCGTTTTTAATGTAATGTCAGCGCTTCTCATTTACTGAACGCAATGCATATTATTGCGGCGCTTCCTTAACATCAAATTTAATATCGTGCTCCCATTTACCGTATGTCGTAATGTCACTGGCCACGCTTCATGCCACTTGTGTGGCGGAGTCGTTTACTGGTATAGAAATTCTAATAGCGGTCAGCAATGCACAATGACCGCTGGTCACTCGGTGCTTATTACTTATCAGTAATGTACTATCATTGCTTAGGAGGCAGGGAGACTTTCACATTTTCACCTGAAAGTAGTAGATAGCTTGTTGCCGGATACGTTTGGTTCAAGTAATCCTAACCACGGCCTGTCAAACGTGTACACGTGCCAAAAAAAAAAAAACGATGCTTACAAACAGGGCGATTTTCAGGTTCAAACCCTCCATTAAAACAGCTCGGTGTTATATGTATATATATACTTCCGCTCGGAAAGAGTTCATGCCGCCTTGAAAAAAGGGGGAAAATAGCTATGTTCGCACAGAGTCCATACGCTCGCGTAAAACAGCATTTGTTGAGCGTCTATCGTGTTGCACTTTTCCCGGGGGACAATACATCATCTTTTTTTCTTCTTCTTCTCCGGAGCCGTCCTCAACGCAAGGGGCGGCGTTCTCATTGAACATGCAAGATGGGCATCGTTATACATGCGGCCTATCACACACAATTCCAGATAAGCGACGCTACATTTCAGCACCACGACCACGCCAGCAAGAAAGGTCTGTTCAGTGACTGACTCCCACCACGCACCACGCAGCAAAGAGCGTTCGGTTTGGCCCACAGGTAAAAGCCACTGATCAGTGCGCTGTGCTCCAAGCCAAGCTTGCTTCTGGCGATTCACCCGCCCACGTCTGCCAGGAGAAAGTGCTGGTTCCTAGGGTTCACTTGCACGCTCTCGGCTAAGTCGCATCAGGAAAGTTCACGGTAGTCGAAGCAACGCATGGCAACCGTTATCGCACCGACAGATTTTCGCCAAATTTACACTGACAGTAACGGAACGCATAAGGCTTGCTGTAGTTTCTTTTGTTATGGTGGCTGACGTCGAAGTATACTAGCAGTTGACGTATCAGTGTGTGTTCTTGCATCCACATTATAATAATAATAATAATAATAATAATAATAATAATAATAATAATAATAATAATAATAATAATAATAATAATAATAATAATAATCTGAGTTTTTACGTCTCAAAACCACCATATGTAGTAGAGGGCTCCGGAAATTTTGACCCTGTGGTGTTCTTTAACCTGCACTGACATCGCACAATACACGGTCTCTACCATTTCGCTTCCTTCGAAAGGAGGCCACCACAACCGGGATCGAACGCGCGACCTTTGGGTCAGCAGCCGAGCACCCTAGCGACCGTTACACCGAGGCAAGCTATGTGCTTACATGATCGGCCCCCCGAACGTCAAGTTCAAGCCACTGATCTCAGAAGACCCTGTAACCGCTACAAGCCGTTTGCCTTACGAGTTCGACTACTGAAAAGTGACCCTTCTTGAGAAATGGTTTAAACTAAGCTGCACTAGCTACTCTTTATTCGGGTGCGACGATTTGTGGGGACTTCAATTGTAACTATGAATTCAGAATAATATATTCTTCGTGCTTGCTTCGTTCTCTCACTTACAATCTAAAAAAAACTTACTGGATCGAGACATTAAAAATTAGCGTGTCGATGACACAATCAATGAGAACTGACAGACAATTTAGGCAAGGAAGGTATAGGGGATTTTACTAGAAGTAATTGTAATGTAATTGCGAAGAAGGAAAATTACACTGTTTTGCTTTCACATTCTACTGCTTTTAGTTCTTGCGCGTATTTATTTGCTTATTTATTTATTTATTTATTTTAATGCATGACAGTCCCTATAACGTCGTCTTAGACACTACGTGATCAAGTCTCTAGAAACTATTGCTGCGGCACCTTCGTTTGACACCTCTTTTGTAAGCTGTGTTGTCAGGAGCACAACTATCCGGCCAGAGTAGTCGTACAACTCATTACTGACCGATAGAGAGCTCAACACAGAGTCACATCGTATAGATAAACGAGAAAATGACTAAGACAAAGCAACAATCTGCTGTGTCTCGGTCAATAATTTGGAGAAGGCCGGTAATCCCTTGTCAAGTGACAACACGTTGTTACGTGCTCGAGGGAGTCATGTGTAAATCATAAGGCACCCAAATTCGAGGCATTCTCCCCGCGAGATCTATTGCATCGGTTGAAACAGCTACGATAGCAGTAGCGTCACCACGTACTGGTCATTGTAGTCAGAGAATACACTGCTGCTGCTATAAATTCATCGTACTGAAGGTTACCGGTGCGAACAACTTGTGCGAACAACTTGTGCGTAGCGACGTGCACGAAGTACTGGCCTCCACAGATGTCTTGTGTCTATTTTTACCCACCGTCGATTGAATGACCCAGCAGCCCCATTGCTTCAGCGGTCTTTCCGTCCCCACATAAAGCTACCATGAGATTTCATAGCAAGATTGCCCTTTTTTGTTGTCCGTTGTCTTACTGATAAAAGCGGCTGATATACGGTTAGAAATGACGTCAGAGCAAATCAACTTTACCGTAGACATAATAAGACTCTCGACCAATATTCTCAACGAGTGTGTGCCAACCGATTGAGACAATTGTGATAGCACTTCCGTCACTTTCGTGAGCTCCTACTATTGATTATTTTGGACAACATAACATCGAATTTCGGAAAGGGTACGACGAGACGACAGATTCTTGCTATGACTAGCAATCGTAACGATGATTCCAATTGAAAAAGCACCATAGACACGGGCATCACCAAGTCTAACAAGCATGTCTCCAGCCCTCTTGTACACCATGATGTTCGCATGCTTGCGGCCTTTAGATTTGTATAACCGTTACTGTGGTTGATAATGCGTACTTGTGGGTCATCGCCACGTTTAGTTCTATTGCATTGCTTCTTAGTTTTACTTTTTACGGAACCGGCCCTACTCTATGACCCTTCTACAAAGGCAGGTGAACCCCGAGGACTAGCGATGCTTTATCCCAGCAGACGCCGGCTTCACCAGTAAGCGTCCGACTCGTACGCGTAGGGCTCCTGAAATAAAGGCACCACGGCGGGAGCTGCGGAGGCGGCACTGGCGGTCGGTGCGGTCGCCGTCAGACAAGCGGCCGGCACTGCTGTGGTGGGCCTGCGGAGCGTCGTCTGCGGCAGTCCGTACACCGTGTAGCAAGCAGGGTCGCAGCAAGGGTGGTGGTGCCTGTAGCTGCTGGTCGCGGTGCCCCTTACGCTGAGGCGGCTCGATGGTCAGACCCAGCCGTTGCCGGCGTGGCTCAGGTAGGAGCGGGCGGCGGGGTGCAGCGAGAGCGTCGTCTTCACGAAGTTGCTCGTGGTGGCCGTCGCGGGCGCCGAGTGGGCGCCCAGCGCCGTCGACACGATGCCCGGCGCGCTGGAGGCCAAGACCGCCTTGGTCGCCGCCTGGCTCGAGCGGAACGGGCCGCCACCGCCACCACTGGCGGCTACTACGGGCTGCACTACGGGGTTGCAGGCGACGGGGACGGCGCTGGAGCCTGAGCCGCTGCCCGCCACGCTCTTCACTGGGTCCGTCTTCCGCCCGAAGAACTTGACCACTACACACTGCGCAAACGATCGTTCTTAGTGAAAGCTCGCTTATGCCTTCTGATTCACGGTTTTCATACCGGTGTGTGCGGCAACATCTCTAACGTTATAAGACAAGTAGGTATTAATTTAGGAAATGAATCACGAGAGTACCTGTAAAAGTCAGTCTCCATCTCAGCGGCGCCACGCTTTTTTTTTTCTTTTGGCATGCATGCATAGGTTCCAAGTCATGTGGGTTAAGTGATTCAAACAAAACACCAAATAATTAACATTTACGCATACATTGTATGACTAAATGCTGTTTTTATTTTAATGACCCCAAACAATTAGTAATTTCACGTATAGCCTAAGCTATACCTGTGAAAGTAAATACATAATAGTAGCATTCAGGCCAACAACTGCTAAACAATGAAATGATATTTCGTTCAACGAGTAAAGTTAGACTTCTTTACTACACTGAGTTGCTTCACAGCCACTCCATGTGGTATGGACATCGAGCACATAGTGCGGCAGTTGTAATCAAGGTGCTGTTTGTATTGTGCATTTATGGCGTGAATGTAGCGCAATTCGCCGAAGTGTAGGATGATAGGTGGGTAATACATGTATAGAAATTTGCATTTCCTTCACATGGCTCCTACTTAGTTTTGCGAATCAGTTCGGTTTGGTGGTAATTTAAAATGTCTATGAAAGTTCAAAAAGGCGAAATATTTTCATCCACAAAAAGGTCAGGAAAGAAGGAATTGATTGAGGAATCTTTCGCCCAAAGGCTTTTTTTATTTATTTTTTTTGCACTTCATGGACTCTTGTTCAAAATCAAAATTTCCGCATAACCTTCCCCGTCACCTCCAGTAACTCTACTGAAGAGTTTTCCTCAATGCATTGTTTACTACTAGCTACATGGGGCATCAATACTGTTATAATTTTGGTGCATTAGAAACCACGAAACACATTTTTCTGACTGGCAGGCACATGGAGAAGAAAAAACTTCTCTACAAATTAGAATATGATCAGCTTCCCAAGCGCCGTCATATCTTGGGTAATTATTTGGTCATCTCCTTCTCAGCAACGCCATATTTCCAAATTTCTCGTTTGGTTTCCCGAAAACGTATTTAACTGTTAAACTGTAAAGTGGATTGAGTCACAACCATTACTTCCTTGCAGGCACATATCCCGATAGTAAAGTCTTTTTTTCTTTTAAATGCGAAGGATTTCTTAGCGAACTTCGGCGACGTTGAGCGTATCTATCTATCTATCTATCTATCTATCTATCTATCTATCTATCTATCTATCTATCTATCTATCTATCTATCTATCTATCTATCTATCTTATCTATCTACCTCTAGCCGCCTACGACTTTTAGCTCTCCTGGTCATTGGGATAATAATATCAATACGAAACTTGGTATGGCATAACATGACTGTCTTGCGAGCATATTTGACTAGTCATAACATGAAAATAATGACATGTATGTCATGAATGTCATGATTTTAATTTCATGGTCTTGCTGCTCTTGCGGTGGTTTCGTTCACATGACATGTTGAAACATTGGCATAGTATGGCATGCTTGCATGGCGAACACAAGCTATAGACACTAACATGAAAATCATGACATGCGTGTCACGTAACAACATGACTACACGCCACGCTCATGATGCGCTCTCAGCCATTTGGCTAGCGTCACATATACCAAAGTTGGTACTACGAAACTTGAATGAACTACGAAGGTATGTGACTGGTACAAACATGACAATCAGGATATGTGTGTCATGTAACAACATGACTACATGCCACGCTCATGATGCGCTGGCGGCCGCTTCGCATATACCGAATTTGGTATTACAAGACGTGAAGGGACGACATATGTAAATGGCACATCCAAACATGATAATCATGACATGCGTGTCATGTAACCACGTGCTTACATGCCACACTGATGATGCGGTCACGGCCGTTTCGCTAGCTTAACATATGCCAAATTTGGTATTACGTGCCGCCAATCGATGACGTATGTATGTAACTGGTGCAAACATGATAATCATGAGATGCTTGTCATGTGAGAACATGACTACATGCCACAGTAAAGGCGCAAGTACACTTCAACGTGACCCGGCGCGCGTGCGCGCAGGTGTTCGTTTCATCGCGTCACGCCGGCGTTGCCACCCCAGGCGGCGGTCCTGCCATATACTCGCAGGCGTGCGCCGTGCTGCGTTGCTTTGACGCATGCGCGTTTCAGTACATTCGGCATCCCTCCATCTTTAAAAGAGGCAGATGCAGTGTTGTCTGGATAACGTTCGGCGTCAAATGCAGCATGTGATGTTTCGCGCCTGTTGCTGTCGGGCCGCGCTGATGGACGCTGGTCGCGCCGGTCGTGCCTGTCGTCACGCTTTAGAGTGCTCGCGTTTTGCCAACATGGCATCTCTGTGCCCAGCGTGCGCACGCGCCAACGTTAAACTAGAGTATATTGGGCCCTTCATGATGCATTCGAGGCCGTTTCGCTAGCTCCACATATACAGAATTTGGTGTTACGTGACGTCAATGGATGACAAAGGTATATCACTGGTGCAAACATTATCATCATGAGACGCGTGTCACGTAAGAACATGACATCATACCACGCTCATAGCGTGCTAGGGGCCGTTTTGCTAGCCCTACATATACTAAATATGACATCGCGTGACGTGAGTAGATCACGAAGGTGAACGACAAATCCAAAAATGATAATCATCACACGAAAGTCGCTTACGGCATAATTTACCTCCGCCTCGTAACTGTGTGGTGATTCTAAAATGACATATCAACCTTCCTCGGTCGTGCTTCGCATATCATCAATTCCCGCTGTACGTGAATCTGCCAGTTTTTTTTAATATTTCTTTTTGCCCTTTCCCTCCCGGGAGTGTTTGTTCTGAATCCATTTCACTTATGCAAGGCAACATGTGGCACCTTTTATATAAACCGGAATTATTCCCTGTTCTTCATTGCATGGCTCTCTCTCTCTCTCTCTCTCTCTCTCTCTCTCTCTCTCTCTCTCTCTCACGGAACCTTAATACGGAACCAACTGTGCACAATCGTCACGATGACACCACAGAGAATCGAGCTTCACAGTTGCATGAAGATTTGTCCACGGCCCACTAGCGCACTCGAAGCCAACAGTCGCCCATGGCGGTCGCCATAAAGTGCGTTCTGAACTGATCAGGAGGCTAGAAGATTGTGTATATAGGGCAAACCTAAATTGATTGCTTAATCGAAGAATAACGTTAATATACAGAGTCAGTGATCCTGAAATTCCCCCCAATTTGATATCTGCGTACGTTGTTTCGAAACATAATAATTAACGGTAGCGTGGATCACAGCAAGAAGAATGCCTTCTCTAAAACACTTGAGGAGGAAGCTGCGGATAAACTTCTGTCTTTGTAGGGACAGCTTGAATATAACACACAGGCACCTCACGCCGTTCACTTTATTATTTTAGTATTTGCTGCGGGCGCATGGCGCGTAATGTGTAGGATACACAGAAGACGGTGCAATGTGTACGACATTAGGCTGCGTGCCCTCGAACGCAAACATGTGCGCATCTGCCGGCGCACTCACCAGAAAGACGAGCACGGAGAGACCCAAAAGGAGCACTCCCCACCAATTGTCGAATATCCAGCGCCTGAGAGAAATTATGGTTTCCGTGGACAGCAGAAGCTTGCGTAGGGTGGCGAGGGGCCCCGAAGGGTCCACCTGAAACGGGCACCAGAACAGAGTCAAAAGCTCTCGCATTGGTTCCTCAGAGTGTTAATTAAAGTACACTGAAGTAAAACAACAAGTCACATTACATACTCAAAAATCCTACTCCGAGATCTTTACTGCCGTTAATTTTATGGTCATGTGTTTACCAATACGAAAGAAAATGAAGATCACAGCCTCCACTTTTTTTTTTCCGATTTCACACTGAAATCTGTGCACGTGCCCATCCGCATTACAAGTTCTGCTGATAGGGTGAGTTGCTGCACAATTCGGTTCTTGTATCGTTTTAGCACAATATAAATCAGCGTGACTTCAAGGATTTCAGTGTCCTGTTCGTCACCCGAGCCACATGACATTACGATGCATAGGTCGCAAACGTTTGTTCCAACGAGGCCCAATTCGGTCCAGCCGTTTCATGCTCCCCACTGAAAGACGCAAAACGAACATAGACACTCACCTCGCGGCACTTTTGGAACACATCACAGTATCCGTTGTAATTGTCACACGGCGTGCCCGGCTTTGCGAATAGGTTCGGAACGTCGTAGGGCGGGTGGTTCCACTCGAAAGAAGACCTGCAAAGGGAATACAGATGTTTCCATTCATCACGTCCGCTTTTACGTGTATGCTCCTAAGCACCAGCGGCGGGAGCATGAGAACGTTGTAACACCCCCTTATACTTGTTCAGAAGCAGATTATTAGTAAAGAGTAATTGTTTGATAATAAATGTGTTTAAGGCAACGTTGGGGTGCTCACGTGTGGCACCGCCCGTTCCTCTTTCCTTAAGTGATAGTCATCACTAGAGGCCGGATTTTTAGGCACTGAAAAAGTGGGTTTTAGCCGCCAAAGACAGGCAGGTAAAACACTGTTTAAGCTCTTAAAATCAGAATTATAGACGCAATAATTTTTATGGAAATAAAGTATCCCGAAACAACGACGTCGGTGACTTGTATCTACTGCAAGAAGCGAAAAAAAAATATATTCTTTAAGTTAGCAGACATTTATCAACGATTGAACAGAGGCGTGCATTTCCCGCGTGATTCGCAGTATGTGGTCTTTCGTTTTGTTGTCCAGCATTGTGCATCAAGTGCCCACCATTCAATTAACACTCTCCTGGGTCCCTTTCATTTCGTTGTGGCTGGGAAGGGCATTCAGGTGTCATGAACAGTAGCGTCTGTTTCGAAAGTAGTTCCAAGACCTGGCGTGGCTCTCCGGTAAAATGCTTGATTGCCACACAAAGCTAGGGTTCGATTCCTGCTGGGACCCTCACATTTATTATTTGCATTTGTTGGGTCAACACTTCTGATGTCAGTTTTTTTTTTAACGCTTAGGCGTTAAAATTACCGTCCAGAGGGCGCACGACGCGGTGGTCAGGCACGACCTGCCCGTCCTGACGTGCGAGCTGCCCACGGTGGCTGCTCCTCCGTAAGGGTACTTTCCTAGTCACTAGTCACTCCTCAGGACTATAATACAGTTCATAGTATCTCCTTGTGTTCTCGCCGTTTCTGGGAAGATATAAGTGTGAGTCACAAGTGGCACATATTCATATACCAGTGGCACATACCACAGGCGGAAAGTGTTTGACGACCTACGTAACGGGATTTTGACATTATTCATCTCGTGACCATCTAGTCATATTCGTCAAACCATCTTAACCCTTGTTATGCCTGCGAGTCCACACCGAACGTCCATGCCTCTGAAAAAGGCAATCTGTGTCAAGGCCAGCACGCGAGCCCGCCTGACGCGAACAACTCAACGGCGTCATCACGCGGCGGTGCCTTTCTGTTGCGCACGCACAGCGAGCCCGTCGAAGCAATCGGCGCCTTCCTGTCTGGCGAGTCTGACGCAATGCGTGGCGTTGTCACCCGTCCTTGGGTGCAGCCACGTGCAGCGCAGTGGCTCCGGATTCGATGAGAATGACGCGGCCCAGCGGCGACCCCATTGGAGGATTCTGACCTCACGGCCAGCGGCGCTTCTGGTTGGACATTTGGTTATTCAAAGAATCCACCCGGTGCATATAAAAAAAGCCTTGTGGCGCGTCGCAAGCAGTAGATCTATGTGTCAGAGAAGAGAGCTCGGCTCTTCAAGTCTCTAAGCTGTCGGCCCCAGTACCGAATTTGTAACGCCTCTGTATATATGCTGTACATAAACATTGTTTAACTCACCGTCGTCTCGTCCGCTCGTCTATCAGCTCTGCGCAGAAGCAGTCGCGAGCTGAAAAACCTACGCTACCAAACGGCTGGTGAACTTCCCGGTGGAGTTCGAAGCAATGGCGCCTTCTGGACCTTGTTGGCGTCGCCGTCTTTCGTAACAGTGATGGCAGCGGTGGGATTCGTGGCACCCTTCGTAACGTCGTCGGAGGCGCGCTTCGTAACAGTGGTTGGCAGCTGCGGGATCAGCCGGCGTCAGCGACATCGATGCAGTGAGGGCCTGATGTTTTCCCCTCAGTTCACCAGACTACCCTAGCTCTGGTTATAGTAGTTTAGAGAAGGGCTGTGTGAAGCATTAGAGTGAGCTTTGATCGTTTCAAGCAAAGTCGAAGTGATTTGAAACCAAAGTTAATGCGGAGGGGGTAAACACAGGAGTGTTAAAAAATGCTTGCGCGTCTTGCTAGTAGACTTATAGTGGGTACGGCAAGTAGATCCTTAACAGGGCAAACAGCAAGAGGCTAGTGGGAACGATGGAGAACCTTAAAGTGAAGTAACTCATCGAAATTTGTGAGGAAGTCGGCATTAGTTTGGGCCGTGCGAAACGAAAGCAAGCGATCCTTGAGAATATGAAGGATGAAGGAGTGTTGGCTGAGGAAGTCGATGAGGCCTGGGCCGATATCAAAGCACGCCGCAAGGAGGCCGAAAGGCGATAAGTAGAAGTTCGCGAACGTGAAGCTGAAAGGCGCGAACGTCGCGAGCGTGAGGAGGCCGAGAGACAGGAGCGCCTCGAGTTGAAACGAATAGAATTGGCAATCCTACAGTGTTCGCAGGCGCACAGCGTAGCTTGTCCGGCAGTTCATGTCAGTGATTATAGAATTCGGGACCAACTGCCACCATTAGTAGTAGGCGAGGACATGGCGAAATTCGTGAAGTTTAAACACGTCTGTGAGTGAAATGCTTTGGAGCGGTCTCTTTGGGCGCAGAACCTTTTAGCTCTTCTTCCAGGTGGAGTGTCCAACGCGATGACTTGCCTGTCGAGGGAAGCGTTTGAGAGCTATGACGAGGTTAAGGAAGTGCTCTTGAGGCGTTATAAGTTGTCACCCGAGGCTTTCAGGCAAAGGTTCCGGTGTGCTAATAAGGGGAATGAGTCACACGTTGACTTCGCGTTTCGTCTTAAAGCCGATTTAATTGAATGGCTCAAGGGCGAAGGTGTTTATGACGATCGCGATAAAGTGGTAAAATGCATTGTATTGGAGCAATTCTACCGCTGCATCGAGGAGGATGTCAAGCTTTGGCTGCAGGACAAACTTGGTGAAGTACAGCTAAACAAGGCAGCAGAGTTAGCTGAGGAGTATTATACTCGCCGAAAGTTGCATAGCAGGCAGTGCGCGTTGAAAAGGATGAAAGGAAAGAGGGCTTTTCAAAGAAACCTGATCAAAGGCAAACCCGCTCCGCACCGTAATTTCAAGAAGGACCCGTCTCTTACGAAGGACACTCTGGAGCAAGGGCAAACGGAAGCGGAGAAATGGAGTGAGGTTCCTAAACAACGCACTGATACCACACGGGCGTTTGAATCACCGAAGCCGCTAATCTGCTACAACTGCAAAAAGGAAGAGCACATCGCGATAAACTGTAAGCAAAAGTTTGCTTTTGCAACAATCCGAGAATCGGAAAAGAACATGCGGTTGTTAGAGCCGTATCTCCAAGAAATTGGTGTGAATGGGAAAACGTGTCGGGCACTTCGAGACCCCGTGGCAACCATGGACGTTGTCCATCCTTCATTGGTGTCTCCGGATGATATTACAGGAGAATACGCGTGTATCAGGCAAGTCGCCGAGGAGCAGAGTGCTTGCTTACCAATCGCTACGGTTGTCATTGAAGGCCCGTTCGGTAAGCTTCGCACCGAAGCGGCTGTGTCTGCCGCACTTCCCAATCGTTTTCCTTTTTTTTCTCTAACAACTCAGAGCAGCTTCTCAAAGAGCAGGTAAATCGTTCTTCCCCAACTTAGCGTACATGGCCCTCGCGCGATTGCAAGCGCGGAAGCTTTCGCAGGAGCTTGATCTTGTTCAATGTGGTAAACCATCAAGTGGCCTTGGCGGCGAGTCGACGGAACCTCAGAGAGGAAATTCTCCGTGTGAGTCATGTGAGCAGTCACTCGAGCGGCCCGTCGTTCAAGCGACTGGCGCGGTTTCCGTAGCAGTGGGAGACGACATGGCACCATTGAGTGAGGGCGAGAGGGGTGCAACGCTCTCGCCTGTAGCGGAAAGTTGGAGTTAGCTGTCGAGGGTTGATCGAGAAACGCTCAGTCGAGAGCAGCGTGAGGACCTCTCGATAAAAGCGCTAATGGAAAGCGTAAACTTGGTAAAAAAGAAAAAGAATGTTTTTTTTTTGAGAAAGCAGGGCTCCTGTACCGGAGCAACACAAATGCGCAAGGTCGCAAGTATGAGCAACTCTTGGTGCCACAAAAGTATCGACGCCAACTATTGGAAGTGGCGCGTGAAAACGCGTGGGCAGGGCATCTCGGCATAAAAAAAACCAAGGCTTGAGTTTTGCTGGAAGGATATCGAAGACTTTGTACGCTCATGCGACACTTGTCAGAGAGCGGGGAAATCCACGGACAAGTGGAAGGCACCCATGAAGCTTTCCGATACCAATTATGACGAGAAATTAAGAAGGTGGTCAAACAAAATTTACCACAGTAACTTGATGAAACCATACGTTCAATGTCAAACGGCCGTAAATCTGCTGTTGAATGCTTCAGAGGAAGAGGGAGCAGAAATTTCGAACACTAGTGATGTAATCGAAAGGGAATTGGAGGTAATCTTGGAGCAGTTGAACCTAGAGCCTAGGTTAAGTGAAGTCCAGAAGGATGACCTGAGAAGGAATGTTTCATTTTGTGAGAAATCAACTCTCATATTGTAGGTTCACAGATGTGCAACGTCGCAAGTACGAGCAGCTCTTAGTACCGCATAGGTATCGTCGCCTAAAAGTGGCCGGTTACTGAGGTGGAGCATGATACTCCAACAGCACAACTTTGACGCTCGCTACAAAAAAAAAGGAAAGCTAAACGCTAATGCAGACGCATTGAGCCGTGTGTTTTAGTTAGTACCTTCTCCACCTTTTGGTTTCTCGCTGGCGATTCGGGGCAAAATTTTGTCCTCATCACGGCCTTAGCTGAGCGCTCTCGTCCAGAGTGATCGCAACAAGCCAACTTTATGTTTCATTCTATTTTGTTATGTTGTTGTACGCGTAAAAATTTGAGTTCTCATTTTGAGAGTCTTGTGTCCCACTAGTGCCTCTTGATGTAGAGTGAACGAAATTCCGATAGACACGTAGCTAGGTATATGTTGTAATATACTTTGTCTGGTGTTCTGTCTGGTGACCAAGGGCACTTGCTTGTGTCGTGTGTTGTCTGTTGTCGAACC